AATCCCAGCACTTGGGAGGCTAAGGCAGGAGGATCTTTGCAAATTTGAGACCATGTCTTAAAAACAAAAAACAGGGTCAGGGATGTAGCTCAGTGACACAGCACCTGCCTGGTAAGCATCTGCCTGGTAGGCGTGTGGTCCTGAGTTCAATTCCCAGTACCAAAAATAAATAAATAAATAAACCAAATCTTTAATGAGGTGAAGTACATGAAAAGCCTAGCTCAGACCTAACAGCTAACTACATGGTAGTTTTAAACTGATACAAAATGCCACCTGAGAACAAATACAGTTACATGCTTGGGACTCTATCACAAAGCACAAGCCTCTGGGTTCAGTCCCTAATGTCAGCTTTGGTGGTAACAAGTCCGACACCCACAGAATAAAAAGTGCAGTTTCCTATCCCCACCCCCACTCAACTCTTCTCAATTCTCTCCTCTGCAAAAGTAAACCTAACTGGTGATATGTCCAAGCCATGTCCTGGAACAGAGGCTCATGAAGGGTTTTAACAATTTTATTTTATTTATTTTTTTGTTTTTTTTCTGGTACCAGGAACCGAACTCACGACCTTGTGCTTGCCAGGCAGGTGCTGTGCCGTTGAGCTAAATCCCCAGCCCCTTAACAATTTTTAAAATGTAAATGTCCTTTTTTTTTTTTTCTCACTATGTAGTTCGTATTGGGCTTAAACTCAGTATAGAGCTCAGGCTGGCCTCGAACTTGCGGCAATCCTCCTGCCTCATCCTCCCAAGTGCTGGGATTACAGGTGTGTACCACATCTGGCTAAAAATATCTATTTTAAACTACCATGTTTCAAAGATCAAGCTCCATAAAGCAGGACTAATCCTAAAGCTGTGGGGACTGAGATTGAAGTTCAGGAACTGCAACAAGCCCAGGTGACCTCAGCCTCTGACTACAAAGCAGGGCAACTTCAAAGGAAAAACACAAGCGAAAGTGGGCGAGATGCACAAGCCTGTAATCCCAGCACTCAAGGTGGCTGAGGCAGCCGCGCTGCAAGCTCGAGCCTAGCCAGAGCGGTTTGTTGAGACTTAGATTCAAAAACTAAGGAAAGAAAGCTGATGGACGAGGTACACACTGGAGACGCCTATCCATCTGGCAGCTGCACCTAGTGGCTTGGAGACCTGTAAATTACAGTCCTGTCTAAACTATTAAAGAAAATCATGATTGCCGGGCCTATGATCCCAGCACTCAGGAGCCTGAGGCCAGCCTGGGCCAATACAGTTCGAGGCCAGCCTGAACTACTTAGTGAGACGCTATCTCCAAAAACAAAATGGTTAAAAAAACTTTTTTTGCTAAAGGGCAGTGACCACACCGAACACATACAGTGTTTTTTTCCACAGTTTGTAGCTCCTTTTCCATAGTTTGTTACTATGGCCAACGCTGGTCCGAAAAATACTAAATATTGAAATACTTAAAAGGAAAAGTCAGTTGGGCGTCGTGGTGCATTCCTGTAATCCCAGCACTCAGGAGGCTGAGGCAGGAGGATCACTGAGAGTTCGAGGCCAGTCTGGGCTACAAAGTGAGCTCAAGGCCAGTCTGAAGTGCATAGCGAGTGCATGCCTCAAAAAGACAATCAATCAATCAATAAATAAATATAACACTCCAGGATTCCTAGGTCTCCAGCACCCCTCTGCCTGGGGTACTCAGCACAGCTGGCTGCCCACCTGGCTCACTTAGCAGCCATTTGTTTGGCTCAAGCATTGAAAGGTATGGTAGCACCTCTGTCATGAGAAGGTTCAGTATAGTGCAAGTCGTTTGAGACCAGTCTATTACACAATTATTCCTTCAATGTCATTATGTCTAATTTGTAAATTGAACTGTACCATAGAATGAAATGTACAGGAAACACACTATATATACAGGGTTTAGTTACTATTTGTTTTTTTTTTTGTTTTTTTTTTGTTTTGTTTTTCCGGTACCGGGAACCGAACTCATGACCTTGCGCTTGCCAGGCAGGCGCTTTTGCCGCTGAGCTAAATCCCCAGCCCCGGTTTGTTACTATTTGTTTTCAGTATCCACCAGAGGTCTTGGACCATATTCCCCTGGGTCCTACTGTCTGTCAAGATGACAATATTCAGGATGGTAGTACATGCATGTAATCCCAGCACTCTGGGCAGCTGAGGCAGAAAGACCTCAAATTGCAGCCTGTCTAGGCAACTGAGAACTTGTGTCAAAAAATAAAGGGCAGCTGGGTATGGTAGCGCACACCTGTAATTCCAGCACTCAGGAGGCTGAGGCAGGAGGATTGTTGTGAGTTCAAGACCCACCTGGGCTACAAAGTGAGCTCAAGGCCAGCCTGAACTGCACAGCAAAGCCGTCTCAAAAAAATAAAAAATAAAATAAAATAAAAGGGCATCGGCCAGGGATGTAGTTCAGTGGTACAACACCTTGCCTGATGAGCATAAGGTCCTGAGTTCGATTCTTGGTACAAAAAAAAAATAAAGGGTTAAGGTTGGCAACTCAGTATCAAGGCCCTGGGTTTTGTCCCCAGTACTGGGTAGTATTTAAAAAATAAAAGCGGGGGTGGGGGGGCTGCTGGGGATTTAGCTCAGTGGCACAGTGCCTGCCTGGCAAGCACGAGGTCATGAGTTCGATTCCCAGTACCAGAAAAAAAAAAAAAAAAAAGCACAGCTCTCATGCCAGTTCTTTGCCTAAAAACCATCACTTGCCAACTTTTTTTTCTGGTACTAGGGATTAAACTCAAGGCCTTTGTATTGAGCGGTCTTCTTTTTTTTTTTTTTTTTGAGACAGAGTCCAAATTGCTCAATTGCCCAGAATGGGAAGAAACTTTCGCTCCTCCTGCCTCAGCCTCCCAGGGTGCTGGGACTAAGGGCATATCCCACTATCGCCACTGAAACATTTCTTTGGTGTAGGGTACTGAATCCGGGTCATGCACGAGGCCCTGGGTTTGATTCCCCAGCTAGGGGCAGAATGACTAGGGAACAAAGCAGCACCAGGGGTCATCACCATGCCACCCCCAACAGTCACAGTGGGCACAGGAAGCAGGGGTGAGGTCTAGACCGGGTCGGCAGGGCAAGCCAGCCTAACTGTGCCTCAGCGACTTTCAATGCACCAGTACTAGACTCACCACCACTTCCAGTGGAAGCAAAGAACAGGTATTAGTGTGTCCACTACGCGCTTAGAAACCTAAGTAACAGGGCCGGGGAGATAGCTCAGCAGCAGGCGCCTGCCTGGCAGCGCAAGGTCCGAAGTTCAATTCCCAGTTTTAAAAAAAAAAAAAACCTAAATAACCCCTAAAAACACACATCCATACATGCCAGCAGTCACATCTTCAGCCACAGGAAAAACATCAAACTCCATTCACAAGGTGAATTAGGTGCAGTTAATACTGTTTCATCAGAACTAAAAACTTCGAATACTGTACTTGTAACACTACAATGCAATGCCCATCAACTCGACCTAGAAATCCCTAACATTAGCATTCAATTTGCAGTACAGGGGCTGGGGATTTTACTCAACAGTGCAAAGGTCTTGAGTTCAATTCCAGCTACTGGGGGGTGGGATTTGCAGTACATTCTGATTTTAGTATTTCTAGGTGTACTTTACACAGATGTAAAGTACACCTAGACAAGTGGGGCGTGGTGGTGCATGCCTGCAAGCCCCACCCTCGGGAGGCTGAAGCAGGAGGATCGTTGAGAGTTCGAGGCCAGCCTGGGCTACAAAGTGAGCTCAAGTCCAGCCTAAACTATATAGTGAGATCCTGTCTCAAAAGAGACAAAATAAAGTACACCCGGAGTTCCACTGTAATGATCACTCAAGAAGTGGTATGGTACCTTTTATTTTTCTAATATTTTTGGTAACCTTTCCCCCCCAGACCAGATAAATCCACTGTTTGTTTTTAAAACACTTTATTGGAAGTGTTTTGATAAAAGGTATTTCCAGAAAACCAAATACATGTTAAGTGAACCTTTTTTTATTTAACACAAAGTTTCATAAAATTTCCAGCCAGGGAGTTAGCTCAGCGGCACAGTGCCTGCCTGGCAATCACGAGGTCATGAGTTCGATTACCAGCACTGGAAAATAAATAAATAAATAAATAAAAAATAAACAAATTTCCAGCCATATTTTTGCCCAGTAAGTTGACAACTGTTCATATAGGTTAATACAGGAACGATGTCAGCTCCTAGGATCTGCCCAGCATCAGACAGGAGACATCCTTTGCCAGCAAAATCCTGAAATTTCACAAAAAGGAAAGTGTTAGAACCACACAGGCAAGCGGGGGCGTAAACAGGAGCTGGCTGGGCAGGAGATGCCATCGGCAAGGGAGCAAAGCCCAAGAATGGATCAGGTGGTTTCAGAGATCCTCAGAGAAACTCAGAGACGCTAGTCCAACCAGGTCATCATTCCCACTCCTGAGGCTGGGAACCGAAGCGACACTCACCGCAGCAACAGAGAGAGGGCTGAGTCTCCACGGGTCACAGCCCGCCACCGTGATGAGACAGCAGCAACCAGGACCGCTACCTACGCATCTTAGGGACCCCACCAGCCTGGGAAGGGGTAGATCCCGAATCTTAGGTTTTCGGCCATCAGATCAGTGTGGAAGGTTCCAGAGCTCTGGCGCTGGAAAGACGAAAACAGAACAATCAGTAAGAGCCAGCACCGCTAAGGCCTCCCAGAGAGCCAAGCATCCAGTCCCCTAAATGAGTCAGAATTTATTTTTGACATCAGGACCATGTCAGAGACTCTAGTCTGTGAAATCATCATTCCCAATTTAGGGAGATCTGGATCAAGGGAGCACACTATGGGAAGAGACCCAGCACATTCAAAGACGTCCACCCCGGCATATCAAGATCTTCAAACTGAAGTCCAGAGACAGTTAAATGTGTGGGGCAAAGAACAGAAAAGTAAACTCAGAACAGCAGAGAACAGCTATACTTAGACAGCTCTCACCTATTCACTTTACAGGAGTGGGCAGAGAGGGGTAACCAAGCTAAAATAAAAACATGTAGCACCGGGGGCTGGGGATTTAGCTCAGGGGCACAGCGCCTAGCCTTGCAAGCGCGAGGTCGTGAGTTCGATTCCCGGTGCCGGAAAGCAATACAAACAAAAAATATGTAGCACCAAACCGGGTGTGGTGATCCTCACCTGTAATCTCAGCACTCGGGAGGTTGAAGAGGATCGCTTTGAGGCCGGTGTGGGGTACACAGTGAGCTCAAGGAGAGCCTGAACTACAGATCCTGTCCCAACGCCCTCCCCCAAAAAACTAAGGATGAACAAGAGAACTATAAAAGTAAAAAATTATTAAGGGAATTTTTACATTGTTGTATGTTTCTCAAAATAAATGCAACGGTTCCCTGTGAAAGACAGCTTGCAGGCCGGGCGTGGTGGTGCACGCCTATAATCCCAGCTCTTGGGAGGCTGAGGCAGGAGGATCATCCTGAGTTTGAGACCAGCCTGGGCTACAAAGTGAGCTCAAGGCCAGCCTGAACTGCATAAAGAGACCCTGTCTCAAAAAGGAAAGACAAAAAAAAAATAAATAAATAAAGAAAGAAAGACAGCTTGGAAACCAAAGGAGGTGAGCAGCTGAGGCTCTAACGCTGGACACTAACCTTTATTTAAGGATGACAAACCGGCGGACGTCTTAAGACCCCTCAGGAACCTCGCACAGAAAAAGAAATATTAGCATGTGCTCCATCAGGCCACCACCCTCCCCTCGCCCAAGTACTAGGTTCTGAGGCCCGAGGGGCAGTCAGTGCGCTGCGGTGAAGGCGTCACCGAGACACTCAGAGTCACCTGGAGTCATCATCACCCCTGTGCTCGCCCGCGGCGACCGCCAGGCACCACCCACTCACCATCTCGCGCTGCAGACCCGCCCGCCTGCAAGGATCGGGAATCTGGGAAGAAACCCTTCGCGTTAGAAGAGGCCAGGGAGACTGCAGCCGACCTCCCCGCGGCCCGGGCTGGGTCAGTTCCGAGCAGTGGCGTCACGGAGACATCAGAAACTCTAGTCTGTTACGGTGGTTCATCCTGCTCAGCCCCGGGCTGCAGCCTCCCGCCCAGCGGCGCCCCGAGGTACCTGCACGCAGGCTGCGGCGACCCCCGCTCCGCAGCGCGCTCCCACGGCGGCCCCGGGAGGACGGCATAGTACACACGCCGCCCGGGCGGAGCCCAACGCACAAAAGAGAGACCCGCGCCCGACCCACGCTATATATAGAGGCCCCGGGCGGGGGCTTGACGGGCACGGTCGTCTTCTCGTGTGCCTGACTCTACGCGGAATATTTTCTTTACCGTTCATCCAGAAAAGAATAAACCAAAGTAAAAGACAGGTCTTGAAAATATGTCCTTCCGTCAAATAGTCGGAAATATTTTGTAAATTTTGATGAACCAACGGCAAAAACAAACAAAAAATATACAGGCGACCTGGCTGGCCAGACGCGAGAAAGTCCCCGGCTGGCAAGACCCGCGCGGACGAACCTGGTGTGCGCGCGTGCGTGTGTCCCCTCTGTTAATTGGGGCGGGTGTGTCGTGCGCGCGCATCCCCATGCGCAGCCAATGTGATAATTTTTAAACCTTCTGTGCAGTTCACAACGAAGTGTATTCACACTATTGTGCAGTGGCGCCCCGGAGCTTTTTCATCTTCCAAATCCGAAGCACGTTTACTGCTACCGATTCCCCCTGCTTATGCTTGTCCTTTTTATTGTCGATCAACTCCCCCACACCCCCGCGCAACCTTGCGCTGCGGATTGAGTCCTGCAAGCGCTGAGCTACCTCCTCAGCTATTTGTTTTTTTGTCACGGGTCACAGGTCTTGGTAAATTGCCCGGACTGGATTAGAACCTATGATCTTCCTGCCTTAGTCTTCCGAGTAGCTGGGATTATAGGTATGCACTGCCACGACCAACTTCACATCCTTTTCTTTGGTACTGGGGATTAAACCCAGAAACTTTGCTAAACTGCTTTCCCTCCCCATCCCTCACCCCCATTTGTTTATTTATTTATTTTTGTTTTTTTGAGACAAGGTCTCACCCTGTAGTTCAGACTACCATTGAACTATGTAGCCTAGGCTGGCCCCCAACTTGCAGTGAGATCCTGCCCCCAGATCCCCACTGCTGGGATTACAGGATTACAGGCATGCATCACCATGCTTGGCAATTTTTTTTGTTTTGTTTTGTTTGTTTTCTGAGACAGGGTATCTCTATGTTGCTTAGGATGGCCTGAAACTCCTGGCGACCCTCCTGCCTCAGCCTCCTGTGTGCTGGGATTACAGGCGTGTGCCATCACACCAGGCCAGTCCTTTTTAATTTTTGAGACAGAGTATTGCTAAATTGGTAAACTGAAACCAGTAGCTGAGGCAGGAAGATTGCTGCAAGTTCAAAGCCAGCCTGGGCCACATAGTGGGACTACCCATCTCAAAAACACAAAACAAAAAATTGCTACATTGCCCAGACCAGTGGTAGGGGGCCTGTGGCATGTGTGCTGCAGCAGGCTGTTTATATCATTAAAAGCTCTAAACGGTTCGCCATCACTGGGCTAGGCTGAGCTTGAATTTACCATCCTCCTGCCTCTCTGCCTCCCAGGGTGCTGGGCTTACAGGTGTGGGCCACCACACCTGGCTTCACATTCTTCTTAGAGCAGTGTGAGGCCTGGGAGTTAGCAAACGGTGGTGGACCCGTTCAGGATCCTCTGAATAGCACTCATGTCCCAGACAGTTGGTATATGTGCTGCCGAATCGAGCACTGTCCCAGCAGAATTGGAAGCAAGCAGTCAGGGTGGGCTAGCCACAGCTGAGCTCTACTCCCTCAGTGTCCCCTCAGGAACTTTTCTTGGCGTTTGCTCTGGGTCCTTAAGGTAGCAACTCCTGTACCATTCTAGATGCTATCTTGCTGGGCCCTTCTGTACCCTGTTTATAGAGGGCAATGTTTTGTGGTGTGTATTGTTATCCTTTTCTTTTGAGAAAACCATATATAACAGGTTAACTTGGGGACTCCAAACCATATAAAATCAGTCTCCTCTTTGAGTCATACAGACTGTACGTAAGAATAAAATTTGCAAGGCCACTGCGTGTGGAGGAAATATATTGTCATTTCCTTTATTCTCCTGCAATGATTCCATCTGCCTTCCTTGAAGGGTTCTGCCTCCCATCAAAAAGACGTCTTCCAAGAATCACTTCGTAATCATTTGTTTGATAGATCACACTCCCACTGGCGTTCCACCTGGGCTAATGCTTCGAAGTGACTGCTTTAAATTCCAACCTGGGTATGCAGTGGCTGCTCGTATTCTTGATATTGCGTGTTAATAAGCAGCTTCCCTAGTCAGGAGTTCATTAACGTGTTTAGCTAGCCCAGCTTCCTGAATTGTTTTAGCCCACTGAACTGTTAGATTTCCTTAACCTCTGTCATTGTTGCTGCTGACACTGGATCTCGGAGGGCTTTTGGAGCCTTTGGATTCCGGCTCACAGAGGAAACCTCTGGCCAGCAGCTGCTAGTCCTGGGAGCACTGGCTCTTTGCTGTCCTTCTCCCATGACGGGTCTTCCTAAAAATAAAATCAGAAGGAGCCTCTGGCTCCCAACGATTTCTCACCCTTGCTGCACATTAGACTTCCTGGGCAGGCTGGACTGTACACACTGCCTTGATCTCTTCTGTTGTCCTGAACTAGCTGAGAGGGTCCTGGCCTCTGCCTCTTTTTTAGCTTCCTCCAAATTATTGCTACTTTTTGTTGTGCTGGGGATCAAACCCAGGACCTCATGCACACAAGGAAAGCACTCTGCTACTGAGCTATGTGAACAGCTCCTGAGGGACTTTATTATACTATGGGGGAGAGCCATGGCTCTAAATACCTTCAGTCTAAGGATTTATTCCCTCTACTTCTGGCAGTTAAAAGAGAGGAACCCCCAATTTTACTATGCAGCAGTGAAAATACATTTCCAACATGCTGTGATCAGAGGCTAGAAGAACATTATAGTTCATCTTTGCTGAGTAAAACAGGGCTTTGAAAATCAGGCCACAAACCAAAGAAACCCTTATTTTCTGTTGCTTTTCCATTACAAGCCTCCAAGGAGTTCATCCTCTGCTCCATCCATTTGTATTTTCTTTTCCCAGAGGGGAAGATGAGTGAGAGTGTAAACTGGAACTGTGTTTAGAAGTATTCCCAGGCTGTCTTGAGGAGGAGGGGCCGCTGTCAAACTAGAGGTGTGAAGGACACCTAAGTGGTACAGCAGGAAGAACCCCCAGGAAAGGGCTGGGCGGGAGGAAAGCCCATTGCATTGATCTTCCCAGCTCAGTCTCCTGCAGCTTTTTTCTATTTTCTTCAATTAAATTTGCTATTGTTTCCCCTGAATATTATGTTAAATCTGACTGATAAATCTGGGGTAAAACCACCATTAAGAAACACAAACAAAGCTGGGTCTGGTGGTGCAGGCCAGTAATCCCAGCACTTGGGAGGCTGAGGCAGGAGGATCGTTGTGAGTTTGAGACCAGCCTGGGCAACAAACCGAGCTCAAGGTCAGCCTCAACTGCACAGTGAGACCCTGTCTCAAAAAGAAAAAGAACAACAACAACAACAAAAAAAAAATCAAAAGCTAGGTTGTGGGCATAGTTCAGTGTGAGAGCCCTGGGTTCAACATGCAGTACAAAACAAAACAACAAAACAGGAGCAGCCAATGCCAGAAAGTCTAGACAGTAGGAAAAAAACTTGGCCCCCAGAATCCTCAGAGTTGCTCTGACTTTTGGTCTGGATTCAACACAACGTTGCTTCACAGGCTAAAGCATGAAAGAAGTTTTAGAATGCCTCACAGGGCGGTGAGGCACAAACTGGGGTGAGAAAAAGAAACCTCTTTCCTGCCACACCCCAAACGCTCCTATCTTCATTCCTCCAGACTTGTTTTTAAACAACAACCAGGGAGACCTGGCTAAAAAAAAAACCCCCAAAACAAACCCAAACACTTTTTAGTGCTGGGGATTGAATCCAGGGCCTAAGGCAGGACAAATGCTTTAGCACGGAACCATATTCCCAATTCTTTAAATTTTCGAAGAGAGGCTATTCAGACAAAAGCCTTATTTTAGAATAAGGAACCAAAGCCCACAGAAGTCCTGAATAATTTGTACTTGCTTACTCCGGTGGGATGTACACAGCCAGAGTGAATCTGCACCTCACTGCTGCTGCTTTGTCCACCCCACAGCCAGGGCCCACGAAAAAGCCTAGAGACCTGACGAAACTTGAGGCTGTGGGAGTGAGCACAAGACATCACGCCCTATAAGCCCACTTCCCACTACTACCCACTTCCTCACCATTTCACCACCTTCTTTCTTCAAATCCCGCCCGCAGGGCCACCTGAAATTTTCCCCGAAACAAGCTCCATTCCCATCAAAACGAGTAACTGGAATTTTTGTCTTTTCCTTAACATGTCACAGCCCACACTGCAGTCCTGACAAAACTACCCAGAACCATCACTAACTATTTACCTTTCTCCTGAAGTACTGCCCTTTTCCAGTCTCCTAAGATACATGGGATTCACACATAGCAAGACCGCATTATCCCTCCCAAAAACTGGCAGACAAACAAACATATCTTTAACATTTTATTTTGCATCTTCTAACAAACACGAAAATATTGCCTTTGTCTTGTTGCAAAGCAAAAAATTGTACACAAGGTGGCAGTATTGATTAGCGGGAGGGGAGAAAACAACGCCGTCCCTCTAGTCCTTCCACTTCACCTGAACAACTAGACTAGGACCACAAAGGTGAGACAGCGCCTCATCACCGTCGGGCTGCAGCGGAACCCCGGCGCACTCCAGGAGCACACGCCTCGGGGCGCACGACACGGAGAGCAGCCGCAGGCTCCCCGGAGGCCAACAGCCCGCCTGGCCCGGCCACCGAGGGACCCCAGGAAGGACGGCGGGGGGCGGGGCGGGCGGGCGGGAGGGAGGGCGTCTAATCCACCTCCTCGATGGTGGGGCCGGAGCCAGAGCCCCCCTTGGGCGCCTGCGCCCCGAAGCCGCCGGCCCCGGGGCCCCCCGCCCCCTGGTACAGGCCGCTGATCACCGGGTTACACACCTGCTCCAGCTCCTTGCGCTTGTGCTCGAACTCGTCCTTCTCCGCCAGGCTGTTGGCGTCCAGCCAGGAGATGACCTCCTGGCACTTGTCCAGCACCTTCTTCTTGTCCGCCTCGCCGATCTTGCCCCGCAGGCCCTCGTCCTCCACCGCGCTCTTCATGTTGAAGGCGTACGACTCCAGCGCGTTCTTGGCCGCCACGCGCTCGCGCTGCACCTCGTCCTCCGCCTTGTACCTCTCGGCCTCCTGCACCATGCGCTCGATCTCCTCCTTGCTCAGGCGGCCCTTGTCGTTGGTGATGGTGATCTTGTTGGCCTTGCCCGTGCTCTTGTCGGTGGCCGTGACGTTGAGGATGCCGTTGGCGTCGATGTCGAAGGTCACCTCGATCTGGGGCACGCCGCGGGGCGCCGGCGGGATGCCGCTGAGCTCGAAGCGGCCCAGCAGGTTGTTGTCGCGCGTCATGGCCCGCTCGCCCTCGTACACCTGGATCAGCACGCCCGGCTGGTTGTCCGAGTAGGTGGTGAACACCTGCGTCTGCTTGGTCGGGATGGTGGAGTTGCGCTTGATCAGCGCCGTCATCACGCCGCCCGCCGTCTCCAGCCCCAGCGACAGCGGCGCCACGTCCAGCAGCAGCAGGTCCTGCACGTTCTCCGACTTGTCGCCCATCAGGATGGCCGCCTGCACCGCCGCGCCGTACGCCACCGCCTCGTCCGGGTTGATGCTCTTGTTCAGGTCGCGCCCGTTGAAGAAGTCCTGCAGCAGCTTCTGCACCTTGGGGATGCGCGTGGAGCCGCCCACCAGCACCAGGTCGTGGATCTGCGCCTTGTCCAGCTTCGCGTCGCGCAGCGCCTTCTCCACGGGCTCCAGCGTGCCGCGGAACAGGTCGGAGCACAGCTCCTCGAAGCGCGCGCGCGTGATCGACGTGTAGAAGTCCACGCCCTCGAACAGCGAGTCGATCTCCAGGCTGGCCTGCGTGCTGGACGACAGCGTCCTCTTGGCGCGCTCGCAGGCGGTGCGCAGCCGCCGCACGGCGCGCTTGTTCTGGCTGATGTCCTTCTTGTGCTTCCTCTTGAACTCCTCCACGAAGTGGTTCACCAGCCGGTTGTCGAAGTCCTCGCCGCCCAGGTGCGTGTCGCCCGCCGTCGCCTTCACCTCGAAGATGCCGTCGTCGATCGTCAGGATGGACACGTCGAACGTGCCGCCGCCCAGGTCGAAGATGAGCACGTTGCGCTCGCCCTTGCCCGTGCGGTCCAGCCCGTAGGCGATGGCGGCCGCCGTGGGCTCGTTGATGATCCGCAGCACGTTCAGCCCCGCGATCACGCCCGCGTCCTTCGTGGCCTGCCGCTGCGAGTCGTTGAAGTAGGCGGGCACCGTGATCACCGCGTTGCTCACCGGGTAGCCCAGGTACGCCTCGGCGATCTCCTTCATCTTCGTCAGCACCATCGACGAGATCTCCTCGGGGTAGAAGGCCTTCGTCTCCCCCTTGTAGCTCACCTGCACCTTGGGCTTGTCGCCCTCGCCGATCACGCGGAACGGCCAGTGCTTCATGTCCGACTGCACCACCGGGTCGCCGAACTTGCGGCCGATCAGACGCTTCGCGTCGAACACCGTGTTCTGCGGGTTCAGCGCCACCTGGTTCTTCGCCGCGTCCCCGATCAGCCGCTCCGTGTC